AGGTGAATTTCACTTCTGTAATTTGATACCAATTTGTACATATCTTCTTCAAGAAAAAAGAAAAACCCCCACTTTTCTTTTCAAACATATGATTGGCATATTTACTGCATAATTGCAAACTACTACTGTAGTTTCAGATGTTATACCCCTGCACAGAAATGATGGATTAGCTGGCTCTTTATTTGCTTTGAGGCAAAAATGTTGCCTCTGTCCCTCTTTACCTAACTAAAAACCATGTAAAATTCTTCTTCCAATATGTGTGAATTTACTTTCTACCCTACTTCAAATGTTTATATATGAACATGCACGTATATGCACAGTAACCAAATTATTAGATTGATTCAATAAGAAATGCAAAATGGAATGGAACTGAAGCAAATTATGTATTCAAAAAATGCCACTGTGTTTTATTGCATGTTACTATCAAATGAATATTAAAAAGATGTAAAAAAAAAAAAATCCCAATTTTCTTAACTCATGCTAAGACACAGCATAAATTGATAATGATGTTAAATATGCTCTTCCTTCCGCATCATTGTCTAAGAAAACAGAAAATAAAAGGAGAAATATCAGTAACAAGCTCAGTCTAACAAAGACTCCAAGAACTTATACTGAAGGGCTTCTTGAAGAACTAACAGGTGCCACCAACACAAGACAAGAATCTTTTGACTCCATAGGGGCTGTGGAAAGCATGAAAACTTCTGAAGCATCTGACATTCAAGTGCAGTCAAAAGCAGCTTCAAAGTGCTGTTTGGCTGGATCATCAAATCTCACCATAAAGATACAACATATTTGATGACACTGAAGTCTGCATCCATCAAAGTTATTATGAAACATAATTTCTTCTGGACAGATCAAGCCTCGTCCACCTAGCATAATAAGGAAAACGGGCTTCAGAACAAGAACAGAACTAATTTTGGCATGTGATCCTCTTTCTGAGATCTCTCTTGCCTTTTTATCCTTCACAGAAGAAATTAATATGCATGAAAGAAACGAAGTGGGGAAACATGGCTGGGTGAGAGAGAAGGTACTAGGCACAACAGTCTGTTGGAGTAGGGGAAGAAGGCTCTACAGATGGATCTGGACAGGCTGGATCTACGGGCCAAGGCTGATTGTATGAGGTTCAACAAAGCCAAGTGCCGGGTCCTGCACTTGGGTCACAACAACCCCATGCAACACTACAGGCCTGGGGAAGAGTGGCTGGAAAGCCACCCGCCAGAAAAAGACCTGGGTGTGCTGGCTGACAGCCAGCTGAATATGAGCCAGCAGTGTGCCCAGGTGGCCAAGAAGGCCAATGGCATCCTGGCCTGCATCAGAAATAGTGTGGCCAGCAGGAGCAGGGAAGTGATTGTCCCTCTGTACTCGGCACTACTGAGGCTGCACCTTGAGTACTGTGTTCACTACAGGAAAGACATTGAAGTGTTGGAGCGTGTCCAGAGAAGGGCAACAAAGCTGTTGAAGGGCCTGGAGCACAAGTCATATGAGGAGTGGCTGAGGGAACTGGGGTTGTTTAGCCTGGAGAAAAGGAGGCTGAGGGGAGACCTTATCACTCTCTACAACTACCTGAAAGGAGGTTGTAGTGAGGGGGGTACTGGTCTTTTCTATCAAGTAACTAGGGATAGGACGAGAGGAAATGGCCTCAAGTTGCACCAGGGGAGGTTTAGATTGGATAGTAGAAAAAATTTCTTTACTGAAAGGGTTGTCAGGCATTGGAACAGGCTGCCCAGGGAAGTGGTGGAGTCGCCTTCCCTGGAGGTATTCAAAAAACACATAGATGTGGCACTTCAGGACATGGTTTAGTGGGCATGGTGGTGTTGTGTTGACAGTTGGACTCAATGATCTTAAAGGTCTTCTCCAACCTAAATGATTCTATGATTCTAAGTGTAAAAACAATGTCAAGAAGGAAGGTGAAAATAGTTCTGAAGGTTGTGTTTGTGAACATCCTACTTACCTACCGCTCAGAACCAATGTACAGTGGGAGGAGCCCTAGGAAGTAAAAAGACCTTATTTTGCTCCTTATAATAATGCAAACAAGAAAAAAGTCTGGAAAATTAGCTACAGCTGACTAGATTAATGTCTGTGCTCTTTATGAATGGAAGTATAAAGACCTAAGTCAGGAATTCAGAATGTCTATTACACTTAAAAAAAGTGGGAATGTGGCAGAACAACCTGCCACGAATGAACTGCTGCAAGAAAAAGTCAGAATAATGTCACTTATGCGATCCAAGATGATTGTGGATACTGGAGGTGCCTACCTTAAGAAGAAAAAATCATTTTGGGCATCTGATAACAGAGAAGTGATGCTGAATGGACGGAAATCTGCACAGAAGGGATGAGTCAGGGAAAACTTGGAAGTCCTGAAAAGACACAACAGACAAATGTATGTCATCAGTCAGGAATTAGGTGTAGAGAAATACTTTCCAAGACAAGAAAATATAAGACCCACTACAAAGGTAAAGAATCAGGTAAACACAGTTTCTGAGGCAATGGATTTTCTAAAAAAAAATCCCACATGATAAAGTCTTGAAGACAATGAGACCAACACTTGTCGGGAGGAAGGCAGTTCAACTTCTAGATAATGCTTTCACTGGTGAAAAGGGTCTCAATTCCAGAAGTTTTTCAGCCATCTGTATAACTCCTCTCCTTTCCTCTTCTTCACATACCCATTTCCTTCAATGCCCATGATAATACATTTGTTCCTTACAGAAGCTTTTGGAGACATCACTATCTAGAAGGCGCATCTGTATATCTTCATTTAAAAGGTTTTCCTTTGTTTGCCATCAGTCCCTCTCATATTTCACTGCATGGTATGAGCTGACATAATTTCAGTTCATTGCTTTAACTGTCAAGACACCTCTGCATGTAAAATGCCTTTGTTCTCCACTGTACTGTCCAATTTTCCAGGACTTTCCTGCTATTGCAGGTATCAAGGATATCTGTGAACCCTGCCTTTGCTGGCAGGAATCACTTCACTCCTGTTTGTATGACTCCTACTCATTTTACCCCAGTCCACAGCTAGCACTGACAAAGCAGCCCAGCTGGGACATAACAAACTTCCTTCCATGCTGCTTTTTCAGTCAGAACTACTCCTCAAAAAAGTCTCCATACTAAGGTTCCTCTTAACACAACTAAAAGAAACGTGAAAAGCTGTAAATAAGTTAGCTTCTCAAAGATATAAAGAATAGATCAAAAAATCCTACAGACTCTAAAGGCTCTGGTCATTTTAGGACACCCTGCATATAAGACACTGATTTTTTTCCTAAAAATAATGTCAAAGAGGACAGCGTTAGGGCCCTGGGTGCACCCACCTTGAAGCAGTTTAGCTGGCTGAGTTAAGGAGTTTAGCTTGCCAAGCCCAAAGGCAGCTCTTCCACTCATAAGAGCTGTTATGAAGAAAGCTAGAAGCAAGGGCCTAACCGTCCTTTCCTCCTTTTCCCTTGAGAGATACTTTTAAGCAGAGTCTTTATTGTTGGCCCCCTATGTCTGCACCTGGTCTGGTGCCTCCCCGACCTTGACCCGCACCCACTGGCTCGGCTTCCCGGCTTGCCCTGCGACCTGCCACCTGAGACCTTGCCGGGCGATGTCTGAACTATGCCCGACCCTGAGGGTCCGATCCTGACCGTCACTCATGCTTAGCATCCTGGCTCCCTGTTGGTGAGGCTACTGTTCTCGCCCGCCTTGATACTGCGCTCTGCTCCAGGCTCCCCCTCCCTTTTGGGGTGGCTGGCCCTCGCTGCTCCCCGATATGCAGCAACAAGCTCACAAGAGTTCCTTCAAATCTGCAAGGCTACCTTTAGAGCGAGATGTCCAAAACTTTCAGATGAGGACAGAGCATAGCAACAGTGTTCAAATACACTCAAGTTACAGCCTAAGATGTACAGAGAAGCCAGGCATACCAACCCGAGGCCTGTTTTGCCGATTACAAATGTGTGCCCTGATGTCACGCTTAGCAAGCCTCCTCTGCCACCTAACGGGTATCAGCCCTGGGAGTTTTCCAATCAACCCGTCTCAGCTACTGCCCACAGTAACGCCGCAAGACGAGCCGGAACATCCCAGCCTCTCCCAGTGAATCGACTGCTGCTATTTCGACCTCCCCCTCCGGGGTCTACGGGCAACGCACACCGGATTTTGGCAGGCGCCCCCAGCCAGCCGGCGAGAAGCAGCCCTCTCACGGCCGAGGCTCGCACGAAGGCGCAGGGCGGCAGGTCGGTCCGCCTTCCCCCCGGCTCCAATGAATTGGAGCGATCCATTTCCTCACGGGCGCACAGGGCATCCCGCCCCTATCAGCGGAGCCCGACACGGGCCACGCAGAGGCAGCGGCTCCCCCGCCTTTCCCTGCGGGGACGGGGACGGGGACGGGACCGGGCGGGCCGGCGCCCCGCGGCGTCGGCACAGCCTGCG